ATTACACTACTAAATAAATAAATACTAATAACTAAATATACTAAATATACTAAAATAACTATACTAATAAAATAAATTCAAATAATAATAAAATAAAATAAAATAAGAAGAAATTATGAAAGTGAAAGAAACCCATGGTAACAATGTTATTGCTTGAATTTTTTCTATTCCTATTTCCATAAGTAATGTATAAATTTTTTTCACTCTGAATATTCTTTGACACAAATTTACATCAGTAATATCTGGAAGAAGTGTTTTTATCTCATTGTATACCAATGTTCTTGCTGATTGGTCATCAATTTTATTTATACACTCATATACTTTATAATAACAATACCAGCACAAAATCTCTTTTTGTCTAACTTTCATTGCTATTATAAATAAATTGGTTATATTTTGTGCTGTAATTTTGCTGGATCCTGTTATAATTACTTCTAGCAAGAATTCAGGAATTTGTATATCAAATATTTCACTAATTTTATTATTATTCTCTTTAATGAATACAGATAAGTCGTGCCTTAAGTCTTGCTAAACTCTTTTATTATATGGAATTTTGATTCTGATATTTTGTGCTTGATCAGTAGACATTGATTTTGATTTGATGGTTTTATGTTTATGGGTAATTTCTATAATAGAATTTATTTCAGTAAAAATTGCATTTTGTGTATCAGAAGAGGAAGATATTTTTTGCACCATTTGTTGCCTTTGGCAAATCTTCTTTTTCCTATTTCTTTCTCTTGCCATATCACTAACCTTTTCCTTTTCCTGTAATATTCAAAAATTCATTAATTTTTTTCTCTTCCAATGATATATGAATGAGAGATGTAAAAGATCAGCTATCCTTTTCCTGGTATACAGTATATCAGAAGAACTGGATGTTAGATGCTTCACATCATCAGGTGTATTATTGGAACTATTTTCTATTCGTTCAGGAGCAACATCAGAATTTGAAGTATTATCTGATATATTAGATGCCAGAGTATCATTGGAATTTTTATTTTGGTAGAGGTGGTATTAACTGAAGATTGATCAATTCCCTTGACATTATCATCTGATTTAGATGTGGGAACATCCTCACTTTGTGAGGCAATAAAGTTGTTCTTTTCATCGGTTTGCAATTGCTTCTGTTCTAATTTCGCAACTCTAGCTTTAAGTTCAGCATTTTCAACAGCTCCAGTTTCACAAATCTGGATTCATGTTCTTCCAAAGCTTGTTTTAATTTTACATTCTCAGCTTTAAGTTCATTGTTGGCCTCAACTAAAATTTTTTTCTTAGTTCAGGAATTTCAGCATTCTCCTTTCTAAGTTCATCAATCTGAAGAACAAGCTTGGAATTCAATTCTCTCAAGGTATCGATTGTGAGTTGATCGTTTGACATTGTTTTATTACAAAATAGGATATATTCAAAAGGTTAATCACACGAAAATTTATTGGTGTAAAAAATTGCATTAACGCGCCTTTGCTTTATTAATTGTAATAAAAATCGAAATCTATTGTTGCTATATAATTGCCTATTAGTTATATCTGTACGAAACATGCGGGGTCAAAATAAGAATAGTTATTAGTTCGCAAACCAGAAGTTGTTTTATTGAAATGTGCTATAAATATTTATACCTTAATTGCGTGTTCGAAGCTTTCGCCAAAATTAAAATTATTTCTGATTGCAGGACTCACATTAAAGAAATCTTCGAAACTTTACTTCGTCGAAATATATTCGTTTATGATACGCAATTCGAGCTCGTGAGTATTAGACTAGCAACAGTTAAAAATTTTTGGAATAAAAATTGCGCGTTACAAATTGTAACGCCGATCACTTTGGCAGATCATTTATCGGCAAGTGATAATCTGATTTTTTTTGTGAAAAAAAAATCTCGCGTAATAGTTTTAACGTTATTATTTTTCCTTTTGTTGTAACGCGTTATTATATAGTAAGTTCTTCCTTCCTACGCTTCGGAAACGTGCTCGTAAGACCATATGTTTTAATTCGCATTACCTTCAGTGCCAGGAAACGTGCATAAATACTTCGAACGCAAAGCTTCCGAATGGAACATAGTGGGTTTCCTAAACGAGTGTGAGATTGAACCATTTGAGCGAAAGATAGAATGTTACATTACAAGCCTCGAATACATCGCTAACAGTGAGAAAAATCGTAGGGGGGAAATGGCACAGTCATTGATTGATAAATATAAGAAGGTGAGCAAGAGAATGGGCAAAATGGTATTGGAGCGCAGATGGCCTTCGAGGTTGTCTGACGTTCAGGCAGTGTCGTTGGGGCGCATGTTACCTTCGAGGTTACCTGCGTTCAAGGCTTCGAGCCGACCTGGCACTGGCCCCGTCGAGCGCAGAATGGCCTTCGAGGTTGTTTTGTTGTTAAAGGCTTCGAGCTGATTCGGCGAATGTGGAAATAATCTTTTTCATTAGGATGATAAACCAGATCGCAAGCTGGCTAGAGAGTGGGAGGGTCGACGCTCACATAATCATATTCATCTTCGTGGAACTATCAATGGAACGACTATAAACAGCGGAACAGTCAGAACTATAAATGGGATCGTTTCTTTAAAAAGGGATATTCATGATGATCAGGTACACATTTTTTTTGCTATAACTATTATTTTGCATTTGTTCCTAATAAATCTACAATCTTAATCTTTAGGACTACAACAAAGTTCCCAAACGAACAAAAATTGAAGATTGGTTTCAACCCTCTACTCCTCCACATCAAATCTATTCACGAAATGCTTACCCCCCCTTGGGTCCAGGAGGTAATTATATTCTATCTCGTAATAATGTCTTATTGGCCTTTTTGACATTTTCTTAATGCAAAAATAAATCACAACAGTGCAATAACAATGGTAACAATGAATCATATGTTCATGATGAGTCTTCTGATTTGGATAATGAGAAAAACCATGAAGATGTTAATAATGACATTGACTATATTGCTAATGAAGATATATATCTTTCATCTCAAAAGGTAATAATGTTCATTTACACAATTTTAAAATTGTAGCATACCCGTCTGATCTATGTTTTATTTTTAGACTCCACAGAATATGACGGAAGGTGTCTACAAAATAATCGAAAAAATAAAATCAAATAATTATCGATTGTTTATTACAAAATCATCAACCTTTCGGAGCGAAATATTACAAATCCCGTTAATAAGTTATCAAGTTCAGAAAAAAATATTCTAAAAGATATTTGGAACTCGGTATTGCATTGTCTGTTTGTAAGCTTAATATTTTAATGAAAATTTAATAATTTTGTTTATCCTTTATAGTTAGAGCCTTCGGATAAATCAAAAACAATTCGTCTTGAAAAATGGAAAAAAATAATAAATCCCCTTATACAAAAGTACCAACTTCATTTAGAAAATAAATCTGTATCTGATGTGATTTCCTTGAGTGATACTATTGAGGTGGTTCTTGAAAAACCATATACCGGAAATTTTATTCATAAAGAGCATTATGATCTTATATGGATACAAGATATTTATAAACGATTGTGAGTATAAATATGTATTTGTGATTATTGTCATTTCCATTTGTGACATTAAGTTCATACCATTTGTTTTTAGTCTATTTCTTTTTGATTCACCCACCAACTTACTATTGGACCCGGATCAATGTGAACTTTCTTATCGAGAAAATTTTGTAAATCCTATTATTGTTAAAGTTTTTGATGACATCATGGACTTAATCAAAGTAAAAACGTAAGTATCTGATCTGCCATTGTTTGTTATCTATGCCTTTAATTGCTAACAGGTTATCTTTGCACAGAGGAGAGGTAGAAAATTTATCAAATAAAATGCAGAGAAATGAAACTCGGCAATATAAGCAACGGGTCAGCATCGGATGTTCACAGGATGGGATATATTCAATAAACGTAAATGCTGTTGTTTTAGAAGTAGGATTCTTAGAGGTTGTCGGCAATGCCCTCTACACTGATGTCAAAAAATTAAACGGTGACACCGAAAAGGTATTGAAGTGTATGCAAATTTCTATTCATTATCAACGTCAACACTATTTATCACGTGGGGCTACTGAACAAGAAGTATCCTTGGTAGTATCATATGGAATTGTCGTCTACCGTAAGTAACATATATTTAGGGCTATATATTTATTAAAGTTATTGCAAGCCTTATGTTCTTTTTATCAATCTTAGATCGAACGTTTACTATTTATGTAATGCATCGAACAAATGAAGGTCTATATGTTGTTGATACTTTAACCGAATTTAGTATACCAAATACTAAGGATCAATTGTACATCTTGAAGGAAGTAATCGAAAATGTTTATTTATTTAAGGTATATATTTTGACATCCTTGACGTATTTTGTTTTTTACGTATTCACGCGTCTGTTTTATTTTTGTTCTAACAGAGCCGAGCAATGGACTACTATCTAACTGTTCGGAAAATCGTTCCGTATTCTAAAATTCACGTTGGCGTAAATGAATCGCCAGTTGAAGCATCACCCTCCAAAGCTTCGAGAACTTACGATGCTTCAAAAACTTCTGATTAGCATATGAATTATGTCTCATTATTAATAGATTCAAAATAAAAATCACGTGTGCGTTACAAATTGCAACGCCGATCACTTTGCCAAGACAATTTCTCGGTTAAGTAGGCATTGATATCAGAACAATAAAATAAATTCCCACAACCAATTTCGGGAGTTAAAATCACGTGTTTCCGTTCTTTTTCGGAACGCTGATCACTTTTGCCGGAAAAATTACTGTTATACAAGACAAAAAGAAACATAGATATGCGTAACGTAAAAAAATATGTGCGTGACTTTTTTTTTGTTTTTGGCAGGGACACGTAAAAATTATTTGGATTATTTCAAATATTTATTTGGAAAATCGCAAATATTTGGATAAATTTGGATAAAATTTTACTAATAATTTTTCTTTTTTTAATGATGGTTTTTATTATTATATTTATTATATTTGACAACTAAAAACCATAAATTTTATTAACCTAAGTTATTAAAATACATCATATTTAATATCTTAAGTGATTCGGTACTTAAATTTTGTCTATTATTACTAAGAATATTATTGTAAATTGAAAAATTCCATTCTACAGCACAAGAAAAAATAGGTAACCATATATAATCAAATGCAATCTAACTCAAAAGAGGAAAAGTAGATGCCATTTTTTTCCAAAAAATTTGAAAATTTGAATGATCAACTTCAATTAATTCAAAATTACAATATAAAAACCATTCTTGCAGAAGTTCTATAGATGGATTTAATAATTGTGGAATATCAGAACTATATTTTTGAATATCACGATTTGATAAAGATAATTTCAAATAGCATGAATCAAAAATACGAACTGCTTTGAAAAGTAATCAGGAAGGATAATTGAAAAAATGAATAGAAAATTTATTATAGGCTGCATTATATGCAGATTGAAAAATCGGATAATTCAGTATTAGAACATTATTAATTTCATTACCAAAATCTGTTGCAGTTGTTCTATAAGTAAGATAAATTTCAAGTTACTGAATTTTTGCTTCAATTAAAGAAAAAATAAGATCTATTTCCTTTTGAAAAAAATTAGTATCTAATATAAATTGATGTAAATGATAATGAATAAAAGCTAAATATATTTTTATTAATCCATTTGCATTTCTATCATTAAAATTTGACATAATATTTTCAATTGTTTTATTGGATTCCAGTTCATGTTCTTCAGAATAAAATCCTCAAATATAGTCCAAATAGTCAAAAACATATATCATCATTTGAAACCAAGAATTCTATCTTATTGTATTAGGTAATAGTATAAATTGTAAAGTTAATTGTTGAGTATTTTGAAAATTTAAACTATTATCAGAATTAGTCAAAATATCTTTAATGCCATGTCACTGAAGATAATCCATATATCTAGATCACCATGCTTTAGAATAAACCATAGTTTTTTTAATATTTAGAATTAATTTTCGTATTTTATCAAAATGATGTATATTTGTCCATGCTTGGCTAACAAATAAAAGTTGTTATTATAAATCTGTAATTAAAAATATTAAATATAAATTATTTATAAAATACTAACCTTATCAATTGAATAATATATGCACAACATGTATTATGTCAAATTTGTGACATTACAGGTTGTAAAATTTCTCTAACAGATTTTTTTATATAAGCTGCTGATACAACAAGATATGGAAAGGTAAAAGGTATCTTCCATTCAACTAAAATTTTAAGAACTAATTAACCTATTGTAACATTATTCACTTGGAACATAAAATTAACTAAAATTAATTTTGTTTGACCTTGATAACTAAAAAATGTATTAATTACATTATGGGTTTTTTTGTTTGTAGTTTTATCAATTATAATAGAAACTGGTTTACCACAAAATATTCCACAGAGTTGTTCATAATGTTGATCAAAAATATCACTTAAATAATGTTTTCAAATATTATCAGCTAAAGGAATAGAATCACCTTCTTTTAGTACTTTTTAAAAAAATTTCGAAGTTTATTTATTTTTTAAGTGTATCAGGAAATTTAGGAGATAAAAATCTCTGGAAATTTTTCAGAATAGTAAATTTTCACAAAAATTTCTGGAAATCTTTCACAAGTTTTTGAATATTTTTGAAATAAAAAATTTCCGGAGAATTTGTATGCAAATTTTTTGGAATTTTTTTATTGTGATACATCAGGAAATTTTAAGAGACAAAAATTTCTGGAATTTTTTGTTTTTGTTATTCTTGTCATTTTTGTTGTCATAGTTATAGTCATATTTTATAATTTTTCATTTTTTTACAAATAATTTATATAGTTTTCTTGATATCTATATAATAGAAAAAAAAATGAATAATTAAAAAAATTATATTAAAAAGAAGAAATATTGAAATTACTTTGAAAATAAATTTAAAGCTCATGATTATTTTACACTTTAATATGTATGTGTGAGTTAATTTTATTAAAAATAAATTTAAAGCTCATGATTATTTTACACTTTAATATGTGTGCATGAGTTTATTTTATTAAAAATAAATTTAAAGTTCATGATTATTTCACACTTTAATATGTGTAAGTGAGTTTATTTTATTGAAAATAAATTTAAAGTTCATGATTATTTCACATTTTAATATGTATGCGCAAGTTTATTTTATTGAAAATAAATTTAAAGCTTATGATTATTTCATATTTTAATATATACATGCGAGTTTATTTTATTATAAATAAATTTAAAGCTCATAATTATTTTACACTTTAATATGTATGTTGTTGACCCTATTTCTTTATTTTTTTATATATATTTTTATTACAACGTATTTTATTATTTTATTTTATTATTATATTAGTATTTCATATATATATTATCTTATTTATTTTTAGTATAGTATATTTATATTCTTGTATCACCTTATTAGTATTTGTGTAACAGAGGTAAA